CCGCGCTTCAAAGTGGAGAGAAGTGAGCAAAGAGGGGTGCGGGGGGGGTGCAGGGAGCTCTTGGGGTGCGGGAGAGGGGTGCGGGGGAGGGGTAGCGGGGAGTGCGTGGTGTGCGGGGAGGGGTGCGGGGCTGTGCACGAGCGTCAGAGTTATTTAATAGCTGCCTTAGCTCCGTTATTGTATCTGTCCGATCAACTACGTCGGAACAACCTGGTGACCTGAGGCTGACTCCCGGCCACAGCCTACAAACATACACCGGTCGTGAGTGACATCTCGAATGGTCCTGGGGCACACTTCCCTTCGCCGACCATGCACTGACCCAGATTGGTGAAGTATGGTCACTTGCTGTGTATGTGCCGCTTGATACGCTGGATACCCTTGCGAATGAGATGTTCCGGGTAAAATATTCTACGAATAATAAAATATTTTAAAAATGGTAATATAAAAAAAAACACCCACGTGACTGACACGGTGTGAGATGGCCGCCATTCAGAGGTGAATTGGCAATGGCGCTGAGGATTATGACTATTAATGTGATTTTTTAATCCACCAAAAAAAAAATTGACAAGAGGTTCTTTCGTGAGGTTTTTTTTTCTTTGCGGTGCTCCCAGTGGCAGGCAGTGACTTGTGTTTGACCGCGTGGTCCGGACTCGTTATCAGATGTGGCAAAGGTGTCTATGCTCTTTGCATGACATTGTGTCGCTTGGCGGACAGCCAGAGCTTTTTGAAGAAAAAAACTCCCCACCTCTGGTAACCGAACTGCCTCGTAAATATATACGGCCTGACATTCTGGTAGGAGTTATCTTGATGTAAACAACAACAACAAACAATTGTAGGGGGTAAGTCTTGCAGAAATAGGTGCGATATAACTGCTCCCTGGCATCTCAGACGGGGGGATAATTGGCAACTTATGCAGTTCCTGAAAAAAAACCACGACCAAATCACGTAGAATGTGCAGACTCTCGTTGGGTTTCGGAAGCCAAGCAGGTTCGAGCCTGTATAGCGCTTGGATGGGCGACCACCTAGCACGAAACACGCCATGGTCAAGTATGGTCAAATATCCCGCGTGGCCCGCACTGCATGGGAACGTCATCATCCAGCAGTGTATTTACAACAACGGTCCCGCAAACAATTGAGTCTGGGAATTTTACGTAACTTCTAAAAAAAATCAAGTGGTAAAACTAAGCCGATACCAACCGAGCACAATTCTGTACATTTTCTAGCCTGGAATTGCTATTACATTATTAGAGTGTAATTGTACTAGTCCTACGAAGATTCCTACGGGGATTGTGAAATCAGGAGGATTGTGGAGTGGTGTGGCCGGGCCAGGCTGCCGCGGACGGGGCCTGGGTATTCAAGCGACGCGGGGGGGGGGGGGGGGGGGTCGCTGATTGCTGGTATCGAAACGTGTTGTGGTCGATTAATGTGTAAAAAAATTCAATGGCGATTCTGGTCAATATTGTCTGCCTGATATTCGACCTCGATTACCACCAGCTACGTTAAGCATAGGTAAAGTCTCAAAGTGATTTCTTGCTCAAAATCAGCATTGACGCGTTGCTTGTCTCCTGTTTACAGACATAGCAATGAAATCCAATTCTGCCACACGGATACCCCCCAACCCCCACCACATAGAATCAAAATTAGTCAAAAGACGTTAATTTAACGTGGGAATCGCCCAACAAAAGATGTCATATTCCTGCAGAAGCCATCCAGGGTGGAATCACAGGAGTCGACTACAATCCCTGCTGGAGTTGCCTGGCTCGACTGTCGAGCAAAAAAAATATATGCATCCGATGTGAGCTTGGGATGGGGATGCATGGCACATGGGAAATCATCGCAAAACTAGAAATGTCATGCAACTATAACACAGAAATACACTGCCTACGCTGTCTGGAACTACATCCCCATCACCAGCCGGTCTACCGAGACCCTGTTCAATACAGCCTCCAGATTTGTCTTTTTTCCTTTGCCTATGATAGATGGTCTCTGTATGTCTCTCGAGGAAATGCCAGTGCGTTTGCCTCCCATACCCTCTCACTCATCTACCCCTTCTCAAAAAGTGTAAAAAAACAATAAGAAGCACAAACACCCATTCTCTCTGCCTTGCTTTCAGGAAACGCAATCCATCCTACCACTGTGCACTATTGCTTGACATGCATTTGTTTTTAGATACTAAATAAAGTAAATTGTGCATGATTATAATGCATCGAAGACTGGCGGGGTGAGGGGTGGTGAGAAGGTGGCACAGTGGCGTCATGGTGAGCGCACTGCGCTCTCTACCCAATTAACGACGTTTGATTCCCAGCCACGGCTAACATCAGTGGTGAGTGATATCCGAACCAGTCCTGCCATCCCATCCCCCACCTTCACCAAACTGCATGGACTAGCATGGTGATGTATGGTCAAACAACTCCCATGACTGATACAGCATGGGGAGGCTTTCATCCAGCAGCAGATTTTATTTTACGTGAAAGATTTGACGACATGTCACGCACACAAGGGAGATGAGTTCTTTCAGGCCCTACCATGCACAGAATATCCCGTCAAATCCTGATGTGGAATCATCGCCCCGTGCAGCGGCGCCCGGTGGGTGAATGCGTTCGTGGTACAGCAACTCGGTGGGGCGAGGGGAGAGGAGAGTGCAAGGGGGAGGAACAGCAGCGGGAGGAGAGGGAGGGGAAGGTGGCGGCTACACGTCGTTTATAATATTTATACAGAGTAGGTAAGCATTGATTGTTAAGGTTTCATAATTGCAATATTGGGTCCTGGGACCACCAGTCCCTAACGATGGGCTGCCCCTCACACCGGCCACGGGGCTTCTGGGTGTTGTTGAGAGGCGAGGTGCATCGTGCCTGCCTCTGTGAGTGGAGGTGCCCCGGGGGGGTGGTGGTGGTGGTGGTGGCACACACGGGTCCCTCGGGGTCACGCGCGGCACGAGCCTCTCTGCAATTTGATCCTCGTCAATAACATCCCAGATAGATGTCCACGTCGTTCAAGTTATCGACATAATGGAACACGACACCTCGGGGACAAGCCTCTCGGTTGTAAAGAACAGCGATACATTTTCACGGGACGTTGTTTATCATTGGAGAGAGAAGGGAGAGAGGGGGGGGGGAGTTAGACAATCGCACAGTCCTCTTAATTGCCACTGTGACCATCTGTCTGGAACCTCCAGCATTGCGACACAAACAAAGCGACAACACGAAACTAGTGCTGTTGATTTAATCAATTTTCTTGGTTTTGTTTTTGGTTCATGTGAACGGCCACTAGTGTGTAGTTCAGTTCGTCGAAGTCCCCGCTGCTACGCTGATAATTGGATTCACTCTTGGGAGATAAAACGCGCCCGAGCTGAACTTATTTATGTTCTGGCGAGACCAAGGGAGCAAGGGGGAGAGAGTGAGAGGAGAGCGTGGGATTTGAGCCGATGAACAGCGCCGTGGACGACGGGAGGGACTCGTCGGGAGGGGAGCAGGAAATTCAAACGTGCGAGTAGCCAGGTGGACAAAGTGGGAAGTTAGTGCTGGTGGTGGTGGTGACAGAGCGGTGTATATGGAATCACATATTCAGTGTTCCTCATCACAGTGATAGAGGTGATGATGTACGTTATTTGTTTACTGACTTTACTATTTGTGCGGTCACAATAAACCTTCCCTACATCGCAATGAGCATTAGTGCAGGTGGTTATGCGGGCATGTAGCTGGTAAACCGGCAGCTCGTTAGGTGGACAGACAGGCAGATGTTGAGGTAGGTCGGTAGGTCGAATAACCAGGCAGGTCGGTCAAACAAACAGAATGAAGTCGTTCCTGCTTCACCGCGCCTCGCGTGCTTTCGGATGTGCTTCTGCGGCCGTCTGGAACAATCTTCCTGGAGCTGTACACATTTAAATCTAAATTGAAAACTCATTTCTTTATAACTGTTTTTTTGTGTTTAGTTTCTTCTCCTCCCTTCCCCCGCACCTCCGATTAGCACGGTTGGCTACGTACGGTGTGAAAGAAGTTCAACATACTACTCCTATACTCTTTCGTTCTTTCGGTAAAGTCACGTAGGTATTTTTTCTACCTACGTGACTTTACCGGAAGAACCAAAGAGCATGGATTCCTGCAGTCACGAAAGCTTCAAATCATACCACTACTATTTGTTTTACCAGGACAGGCCCACTGAGCTACGTAGCTCTTTTACAGAAGCGACCTGGCCGCACATAAGAGCTCAACGAAGTGGCTTGCCGCGTGGAAATGTACAGCAGCCAAATACTCGAAACGCGTGGAGGAGAAAACTCAGAAAAAAACCCACGTGACCACGGGGAGAGAGAGACAGCGAGAGACACGCAAACTCCAAATATACAGCAGCAGGTGTCAGGGTCAGGATCAAACCCACGACCTCCTGTATACCAGGCAAGGTGGTTAACATCTCGCCACCGCGGTGTCCGTATGTGTGTGTGTATGTGTGCACATGGCCTGGCACAGGCGTCGTGGTGACGTCACCGCCACTTAGTGGCGAATCGCGGTTGTTGTTGTGTATGTGTGTTTCTATATGTGTGTGTATGTGCTGGGGAGCGGTAGTGTAGCGGTTAGCGCGCTGCGCTATGAACCTGGCGACCCGGGTTCGATTCCCGCTCACGGCTAACACCAGTGACGATTATCTGAACCGGTCCTGGGCCTCCCCTAGGTCGACTCAGCCTTAAATGAGTACCTGGTGCGGTGTGTAAACATCGCCACTGGGGAGACAAAGGCGGTCGGGCGTGGTGCTGGCCACCCACCCCCTCGTTCGTGTACCGTTCCGGCCTTCATAGGTGCTCGCTAACAGCACTTGCCCCTACAGTCTGTTAAGGCTATACGAGGGATCTTTGTCTTTGCATGAGTGTGTGTGGGTGTGCATGTGTGCATGTGTGCATGTGTGCATGTGTGTGTGTACGTATGTATGTATGTGTGCGTGTGTGTATGTGTATGTATGTATGCGTGTGTGTGTGTATGTGCGTGTGTCCGGACGAGACGGCCTCTGACCTGAGCTGGTCGGTGCCCTGGCGTGTAGCGGGAGACGCGCGCCATGAGCAGGGGCAGCGAGAGCGCGTCGCACCACTGCTTCTCCCAACGCGTGCGGCTGCTCACGGGGGATGAGGATGGCGACGGGCCCTGCCCCGGCACAAACCGCACGGCTGCACATCAACGCCCACAGCCGCACCAGCAATGCTATACAGCGTGGCACGCGGAGGGTGACCCGTGCACAGAGCAACGAGGGTTTCTAACATATCCTGCGTTTCTCTTTCCCTCGGGATCGTCCTCTTTTTGCAGAGACTATCCTGGGATGTCTGCGGGACTTAAACATAAAATCCCAATTTTTGGTCAGTTGATACGAATCTTTGCAATGTATATGGCGCTTGCCCAAATGCATCAGCAAACATCGGAAGGGGCCCCAACTCCCCCATTGGCAGCTGTCCCTGTGCATAAAAAGGTTACAGCACAGGCCTGCGAGTGGGCATTGGTCTGCCAGTAGGGGATGATGACTATTGTACGTAATCCAAATTGTGTAATTTGTGGGTCATTTTGTAATAATCAATTATAATCCACCACTGCAGGCAATAACTCTGCGTGTAGGCCGCTCCTATTGCAGAGTTGTGAGATATTCGTCTTCCCATGATGTGTCCCACATATGTTGTACCTCAGGTGGCAGCCCTAGGTACAATGCAGAGCTACAAAATCATCGTTCGTTAGGGCTCCCTTATTCTGAGCTCTCGGTGCTGGACGAAATGAGACACGTTGTATCATATGGCGCACAAAGGAGAGTCATTAAATATATATAACCCGAACTGGGCAAATTAAACATTGACTTATGGAATAATAATTCAATGCGAAAGACGCCATTCATATAAGTGTATGCGAAAATTTCTAAAATAAATAGACATTCTTTACTTAAATGCTTTTAATTGAGTACCGCAGTAATTTGGATATGAAATCAGGCGCACTTCAAATAGATACGGGAAATTAAGGGAGCGTTGGCGAGGCAAAGGGGACCAAAGGGACCCCCAGACGCACCGAGCAAGGGAATCAGGGTCAGGCATTGAAGCGCGTGGCACGTTCGAGTGTTTCTTCGTGGCAACGGTGGCAGAGAGAGAGAGCGAGACAGCGGCAGGGATGGCCGCAGCGAGTTGAAATCAAACAGCTCGGAGGAGATGACTGGACGAGAACAAAAAGTCGGGGCAAGAATGGAAGAGCGTTTTGGGGAGGCGCTTGCCCAAATGTTGGAAGTTTCTGACTGACCACAGCAACAACAACACCACCCCTATGACAGCTGCATTCACACTGTGAGGCCCACCCATAGCAAATGATAATGGGGATGACAGCTAATGTTCACCATAGGGGATTTGGAGCAAACCTCGCAATTACGTGTTTGCTTATTGCAATTTAATATGTTTCTCACGGAATCCGAGTGAAGCCCATTGAGCTAAGAAGCTCTATTTCAAGGGCGACTCGGGCCAGATTGTGTCACGTGTTGTTTGGATGTTAAGCATGATGCCCGCCGTTTAGCAACATTTGCTTGGATATTCTACAGGAAAGTGAATTTCAGTTCACGAAGAAAGGTGCCAGAACGTGGAGCCAAAACATGAAAGGCATCGAACCCAACAACCGAACGAGACACAACGCAGCCTGGAAACGCATCCCAGGACTATAGAGCGCAACGGCAAACACCCACGCAGTCGCGATCATCTAAATTGTTACCATTGCAAATTATTTGAATTCAATAAAGGCTCCAAACGGATTAGTCACATATTGTTGCGTGAGGCAGCAAGAGGGAAAGAGAGAGTGAGGTGATGAGGGTTGAGAACTGCACGACGGTAGTTTGCTAACTGGTGGTGTAATGTAAATGTGGTCGGTTGCAGGGGTTACAAATGGGTGTCCCGGTGGTGAGATGTTATCTGCCTCGCCTGGTATACAGGAGGTCGTGGGTCCTCCGGTTTTCCCTCAACATGTAGAATGGACATCATCACGCGTTGAGAGTATGTGGCTGCTACTGTAAACTTCCACGCGATGACGAGCCACTTTGTTGAGCTATCATCTGTGGCCAGGTCGCTTCCGAAAAAAAGTTATTTAGCTCAAGTGATCCTTACCTGGTCACAACAAGTTTTAGTTTGGTTCATTTCTTATTTGGCCATTCACAGACTACTGTGTTCCTATGCAGCGTCTGGTAAAGCCCACGCGTTCCCCGCTTCCATTGTGCCGCCGCCGGCGTGGACGCGAAGCGCTCGATTTGACTGGCGTGCCGCGTGGTGATGACAGAGAACGGACAGATCGAGATGCCCGTAAGTCGCGTGCGAGCGTGAACTGTGTGTGTATATAATGGATAAAAAAAAAAACCGGCAAGTAGAGCGCAGGAGAAGGTACACATATAAATGAGAAAGCATTTTTCGGCCTCAAACTGCATGATAGTGATGCGGATGCCTTGTTAAAAAAAAGAGTTAACAAAAAACACGGAGGGATTTCAAAGGCGCGCCGCCCGCCTCTGTGCTCCAGGATGAAAGTGCGCGACGCGCGGAGGCACGTGCCCCTCACAGTCAAGAGTCGGCACGTGTCGCAGGCGAGCGGGTAGACATTTACAAAGGGTGAAAAAAATCCCGCATGAAAGGGAGTTATTTTTTTAGATATCGCAAAAGGATTTTACTTTCTCTCCACACATACGCGGAGAGAACGATAACTAATTCCGGCAGGTTGAATGAAGAACGTTGATCACCGTACACATATATGGATTGTTTGGTTTAATAAATGTTACATTAAAAGGGGAAGCGTTGGAAATGAGCTTTGAGTGAACAGAAAAACAAATGGATATTTAATATCACAGGCCTTAATAAGGATTTGCTAAGCTTTCATTGTGAGACTTGTTTACCTTCATTATCCCTGTTGTACCCCACGTCATAGTATCACCGATATTAACTACAGAGACGGAAGCACTAAACTTCAGGCACGAGAAGAAAGCGGGCTTGAATGGACAGAGGTAGGACTTTAGCTAAGATGGATGTTGGGAACATCCAGACAGAAAAGCAGAAGGAATCAAAGGGGGGGTCACTAATATTATCGAAAAAGCTAAGGAGGATTAGACTTATACGGCATGGGCATCTGTTGATTACATTTAGAAGAGCTATGGAGGTTAGAGAACTATAGAATCACATAGAGACCCATAGACTCACTCAGAGACATACAGACCCATCACAGAGACTAGTCGACTCAAACAAAGATACATAGACTCACACAGAGACATACAGACTCTTCACAGAGACCCGTAGACTCAAATAGAGGTACACAGACTCACACAGAGACATACAGACTCTTCACAGAGACCCGTTGACTCAAACAACGATGCATAGACTCACACAGAGACATACAGACTCCTCACAGAGACCCGTCGATTCACACTGGCTCCCGTCGGTGAGATGAGCCCTGGAGACGCCACGGGTGCAGTGGAGAAGGAGCATCGGGAGACAGACGGTGAGATGGGGGGAGGCGGTTGAACGAGAGATGAGGAGGGGTGGACGTGACCAGACAACAGGCGAACAACAAAAAGCAGATGGGGAGAGAAAAATCCGAGTGGCAGCCGAGCCCGTGCGATAATGGGGACTTAGAAGAAGATGCAGTTGCTAGAGCAACAAGTCATCACGGTGCCACGTATTTGCGCTGCGTACAAGAGCGATTATTAATGTGGCAAGTGCCTAGCAACACATACGGAATTGCTTGAGCCTCCGTTTAAGTGTAACCCACTGTCGAAGAGTGGCGAGGACGTCCCACTGCTGTGGTCGCTGGATGGGATAGGAGAGCCTGGAAGGGAAAGAAAAAACGAATTCTTTGTCATCCTCGTATGCACGAGTGCTGATCTTTGGTGCTCCGGTTGGCTCCGAGATGAAGGCGATGAGATCGGCCGCCCGACATCGGACACCAGGAGCAACCGGAAACTCTGCTCCTGGAGAAGCTTCCAGCACACGAAGCGAAACGTCGGACATCGTTCCAAACAACACGCTGTACAACAAGGAAGAACGTCGGACGGAAATTTCTCAACGTCGCATCCACACTTGAGTGGCATTTTTTTTCCCCGTTGCCAAATATGCTCCGTGAGTGCAATGGAGCTCACATTTATTGCATCCTTCAGTCAGCAGAGCAAAATCTTGTCGGGCAGGGCCTATTTTAACGGTGACAACCAAAATAGGCAGTGGTAAGACGACTTTGAGTGCTAAATATAAAATGGGTTAGTAATAATAAATATAAAATTGTTTTAGTAATAATATGTGAATCGTCCTGGTGATCACACGGAACTAGCAACCAAAGAGGTCTGCGGTTAGTCGATGGCAGTTTTGCGTGTGGTGGAGTAAAGTGTGAGCGCTCCCACCTCTTCCGAGAAGGTCCGCCCAACGTGGAAGAGGAGGGGGTATCTCCAGAGCTCCCTCTAGTGGAGGCCCTACTGCCATTCATTGTTGGAGTTAATGCATTTTCAGGGTTGCACTTTTACCTGTTTCTCGTTGAATAAGAGCTCTGTATCCAACGTTGTAACTGTTGTAGCCTGTACGGCTATTCTGTGTACTTCAATGAAACATTACAATGTCCTTTAAAATAGGCCCCGGTATCAGGGAATGGCTGTAGACAATGACAATGCAGAACATTATTATGCATCCTGATGCCACTTTCATGACAGGTTGCAGAATTACGTGAAAACAAATGTAAGTTACATCCTTTTTGTGCACAGCGATTGGTGAATGAGGTGGGAGATCATCAACTCAGCTGCACTTGCGAATCCACAGTCGTAGTCGTGGATGGGTGGCTGCCAAGCGTTGAACCCAAGGTTGAACCCAGGGTTGAACCCAGGGTTGAACCCAGGGTTGAACCCAGGGTTGAACCCAGAGTTGAACCCAGGGATGAACCCAGAGTTGAACCCAGCGTTGAACCCAGGGTTGAGCCCAGGCTTGAACCCAGAGTTGAACCCAGAGTTGAACCCAGCGTTGAACCCAGCGTTGAACCCAGGCTTGAACCCAGGGTTGAACCCAGCGTTGAACCCAGGGATGAACTCAGGCTTGAACCCAGAGTTGAACCCAGCGTTGAACCCAGGATTCACAGCAGCGACAGCTCAATGCTATCACACTGGCACCATGGTGGCCGCATTTGCCAGCTCGTAGGTAATTTAACATTTGTCAAATTGTCTCAACTTAATTTAAAAAAATGTAAATTAGATTCGGGTGCAAGAACAAATTCCGGAACGTGAAAGACGTACAATTACATATATATTTTTAACATTTTAAAGTGGTTATGCTATGTATAATATTTTTAGCCAGTATTTTGTCAGAGATTATTCATTACGCTGTGGGTACGTCGAAATGCATCGATTCATCAACTAAAATCGATCTGTATGCTATAAATATATGCACTGAAGTCTCTGTGTGCGAAGTTGCATGACATTGTATTCGTAAAACAATTACTTATAATCTTAACCTCTTTTTTAATCCATTTCTGGATGAATGCCTCCCCCAAGCCGTGTCAGTCATTGGTTTTTTGTTTGTTTTCACGCCAACATTGGTGGGAGCCCAGGATCGGTTCAGCAGATAACCGTCACGGATGTTCGCTGTGGCCAGGAATCAGATGCAGGTTACTGAGTTCGTAGCGCAGTGCACCCGCTGCCATGCCATCGCTTGATCACTATGAATACACAGGGTACGTTGCATTCACTTGGGTCAGGCGGTGCAAGTGATGCAAGTGGAATGAAAGAAGTAGAGAGATCAAGGGGAAGGCAGAAGAAGAGGTGGGGGGCGATGTGGTGCGATCGGACCGTGGTGGCCTGAGGAGTAGAGGGAGAGATGGCGCAGGACATGGCAGCGTGGAGAAGGTTGGCAAGGACAGCGGAAAACCCCACGTGATTGGGACAAACGCGTGGAAGGAGAAGAGAGAAATTGTAAATCCTGAAGTCACTACATTGTCTAACACCGTCAAGGGCATTACGACTGAAACAACTTTTGTGTAGAACCATGACCCCGGGATGTGACAATTCATCAAATCGCGAGGTGGGGAAGGGGAGAGAAATTGATGAATCTACACCGGGTAAATGAAGACTATTTTAACTTTTACATAAGGCTTATTAAAAAACACGACAACATTAAATATGAATTTCCAAACAATATTAATAATGTAATTTAATTGCTATATTTTTCAATTCTATATGTAACATGCCAGGTGGATTAATTATGATCCGGAGAACGGTAGCCTCGACGCTGGAAAAATATGCATCGCCTAAATTTCATTCACTTTAATCAATGTAACGGTCGTTCGGCACTCACAATGTTGGGGCAGTAAGTGGGCTCGCGGGGCAACTCGGTACGTGAATCATTCACCCGGCAGCCGCCAAGGCTGTCTGCCTTCCACCACCACCGATGGAATGCGGTTTGATTAAATCGATCTTAGAGTTGCACCCAAGGGGATGTGTCTGTGTGCCTCTATTTACCCACAGCCTAAAAAAAGGCAATTAAAAGAAAGGTAACAATTTTACTGTCCATAACAACCCGCTGTGAACACAGTAAGCAATTGTTATTACAAATGTATTTATTTCGTTTTGTCTAGTAATATTTCTTTCCCTAAACCTACGTTTTTCTCTTAAATAAGCTGTGCTTTCTGGCCAAATGTGTTACTGGACGCTGTATCCTTCTGGGGAGGGAGAACCAGTTTTTAATGTCATGAGCGGCATTGTGTGCAGGTTCATGGGTGTATTTTTGGATTGTACCATGCGTGGGATTGGGCAGACCTTATCACCGGAAATGGTTCTGGCTGATGGTCAAAACATAACATCGGCGGCCAATGAGTGGAACCCGTTTGAGAATAAGTACAGCAAGAAGATGTAACGTTGAGATCAGTAAGTGTGCAGGTGCTATGGGGATTATTAGATCACATGATCATAAGAGGTTGTAGTGGCTTGGGGATGCCTTCATCCAGCAGTGGATTAACCAAAGTTGCTGCTGCTGCTGATGATGCTGCTTCTTCAGGAAGTGAATTTAAGAACAAGTTCCCAGCTGGTGGAGCGAAACGTCAGGCGTCTTGTCGAGTATGCGGTCCGAGCATAAAACGCATCGACGAGACAGACATGAACACCATGAAACCCACGCAGTGAGAACGTGTGCACGTGGCACGTATACGTGCTTCACTTGCAAGGCGTAGCACATTCGGCAGAAGGTGGTCTGAGCCATACCTATTGCACGTGGTGAAATGTTAACTACCTCGCCTGGTATACAAGAGGCCATGGATTTGATCCCGAACCTGACGTCTGTGTATTAGGAGTATGTGTGTTCTCCCCGTGGTCGCGTGGATTTTTCTCTGGATCCTACCGTTTTTCCTTCCACATTTGGATTCAACATGCGTTTAGAGTGTTTGGCTGCAAAATATTTCCACGTGATAAGCCACTTCGTTGAGCTATCATTTGTGGCCAGTTCGCTTCTGAAAAAGATCAGCATAGCTCAGTGGGCCTTACCGGGTAAAATAAAAAATAGTTGATAGTTTATTTTTTATAGTTTATAAGAAGTTTGAACTTTTATCCATCGTGCAGAAATCTGATGTTCGGTCGGGGCGGATAAGAAAGTTGCCACACCAAACAATACCAAAAATATATATTCTTCCAGCACATGGCTGTCCAAGGGTTTCAAATGCCCACGCGAGCACATTTCCTTTCATGTCTGACGAATGATATTGCGTCTACACGAGATTTATCATACGGTACACCTCATTCAGGTCTCCATAAACTGTTAGAATAACGATTTGCCATTCTTTACCATTTATCTCGGAAAGCTTCACTGAGTCTCAATCCTTTTTTTGTTTTGAGAGGGTCCCGATTTGGAATGTTTGGACGATTCTTTTGTCGCAAATATTTGCTCTGATGCGGGAATAATGTGAGAAACTGCAGTAAAAGCGAACACACACATGCAGCATGGAAAAATCCATTGTATTGTACTGTGCGTCCATGCTTCTTACTGTCGCATGTTATTGTCTATCTCTCTGTGTGGCCACATCTCTTACTCTGGCTCTGTGATTCAAACCGGCAGCCAGGGCTATTGCCCCCAGGGTTATTGTGGGCTATTGCAAAATGCATCAGTGTGGCGAAGATGCAATAATACAGCAAATCTGTTATCCCTGCCCTATCCCTTCTCAAGCCGCATCCACCACAAGCCGTAATAGAAAAAGCCATCGCTTGCTGACCAATGCCCGACCACATCTCTGCCTGCCAAAAACACGGTGACCACAGCTCGCACGAATACAGGGGACGAGTAAAAAAAAAGCAAAAGCTACGTGTGCTCTTGCTCCTGAAGATTCAACACACCAGGACTGTCCCATCTCCCCCGCAGTCCCGGAATATGGACGCCTTCGGAACGGTACCCTCCAAAAAGACAAATGTCCTCGATATAAACTCGCGCACGATCGTGGACTGACACCTGGCTGTCTCATTGTCCGGCTGCCCACGGCGGGGGTCACCGCACTCAGAAGTGTCGTGGGGTGGGGGTGTGCGTCAGCGACATTGAAGAAGCGTTGAGCTTTACGAGTGAGCCAGCCAGATCGACTCGACCTCAAGTGTGAGCACGTGGGGGTGCAAGGGTGCGAGAAGGCAGAGGTGCCAGCCCCACCACCCGCACGGCTTCAACAGCTTCTTCCCAACAGCAATTTGCTTTGACAGTCTCCCGGGTCAGTTGGGTCAATAAGGGGATCATTTACACTATGGGGACCTCATTTGCCAGTAAAAATATGATAATTGGTTCTTTACCCTTCTATCTGGCAACAAAACTGACACCTTTTTGCAAGGA